TGCTCACAAGACTCCACAGCTTAGAGGGAGCATTGGTTGTATTAGTGCTTAGTTCTCGTGGCCCTTTCTTACATGCCCAGAGAAATGCTGATTGCCACTTTGGGGCCAGGAAGCAATTTTCCCCAGGCCAGTTTGGCCAGGGATCCTGGAGGTTTTTTGCCATCTTCTGGGCATGGAGCAAAGGACACTGGGGGTGTGTGTGGGGAAGGTAGTTGTAAATAGGGGTCATTTCTGCAGGAGCGCACAGGAGCGGAGCTCCAGTAATAGAGCCCAGGGGGCGGGTGCATGCAACAAGCCCCACCCCCTGCTCCCAGCAGCCCTCAGTCAGAGCAAGAAGCAGACAGGTAAGTTGCAGAGCTCCCCCCAGCCCCCCCCCGGTCCAAAACAGTCCAGTGGCACCTTTAAGACCAAGTTTTATTCAGGTACAAGCGCTCCCTCCTCTGAGAGGACAGATCTGCACGTTCCTCCCCCCCCTCCAATAGCTATCAATCCAAAGCAGTCCAGTGGAGCCTGAGTGGTGGGTGTTGCCTTCTGACACACTTCCGGTGATGTCAGGGGGTGTGGCACATGCAAATAAGTTATGCTAATGAGTTATGTTAATGAGCTCCTGCACCTCTTTTTCTACAAAATGACCCCTGGTTGTAAATTTCTTGCATTGTGCAGAGAGTTGGACTAGATGATCCTGGAGGACCCTTCCAGCTCTATGATTCTAATGGAGGCCTTGGAGGGTCAACTCTGTGGCATTGTACCCCACTGAATGCCCTGTCCTTCCCAAGCGCCATCCCCAAATCTCCAGGAGCTTCCTAACCTGGATTGGAAATTCTGCCCCGCCATCCCCTGCTGGTGGCCAGGGGGGACCTGGAGATCTCCTGGAACTAGAACTGATCACCACACTAGAGATCCGGTCCCCTGGAGAACGTGGCTCCTTCGGAGGGTGGACTCCAGGGCATGACACCTTGCTGAGATCCTTACCTTTCACCAAACCTCACTGTCACCAGGCTCCACCCCCTAATCAACTGGAATCTCCCTATCTGGAGTTGGCAACCATAGCTCTCTAATACTGCTTCTGATCTCACTAGACGTCTGGACAATAGATGCATAGATAGAGGGATGTAAAAAGGTAAAGGTAAAGGTTCCCCTGCTCGAAAGCCAGTCGAGTCCGACTCTAGGGTTGCGGTGCTCATCTCCGTTTCAAAGCCGAAGAGCCAGCGCTGTCTGAAGACGTTTCCGTGGTCATGTGGCCGGCATGACTAAACACCAAGGCGCACAGAACGCTGTTACCTTTCCACCGAAGTGGTACCTATTTATCTACTTGCAATTTCTTGCTTTCGAACTGCTAGGTTGGCAGGAGCTGGAACTAGAGATGGGAGCTCACTCCGTCATGCGGCACACTCGGGTCCCGAACTGCTTAACTACTGACCTTCCACAGCCTGCAGTTCAGCGTCTTAACCACTTGAGCCACAGCGATTCTATAAATGTCTATAAATATCCTTAGGTGTGATTTACATGTTTGTTCCCCCCCCCCCCGAGTAATGGGGTTTTCAGCCTGGGCTACTGCTGTTGTATGTGCCTTGAAGAGCCTTGAGCTCTTTTGACCGGCACCATTTAGTAGTGCCCGGCCCAAAAGACATCAGGATTTCCGCGACCTGGTGGAACATGCTCCCGAGATCTATTGCAACTCCACAGGGCCTGCAAAATGGAGCTGTTCCACCAGGCCTTTGGTTGAAGCAGCGGACGTCAAAAGAACATCGGCCTCTCCTGCCTCAATTACTCCATGGCGCTATTCATATTTATTGGCGCCAGGGGTGGTTGAGTTATTCCATCAGAATGATCTACTGCCTCCGTGGCATGAACTCAGAGGACAGTGAAATGTAACTACCCGCCGAGCTGCCAGTCAAGTATTTAAAATTAGTTGTTTAAATTTCAACTTTGTTGGAGTTAATGTTGTAATGATTCTGTGTTATATGGAATGAATAGTCTGACATGGCGTAAGATGCTCTGAGCCTGTTTGCGGATTGGGGCTGGATAGATATCTCGGTAAATAAAAAAATAAAAAAATAAATAAAGTGTGCCTCCCCTCCCCATGTGGCAGTGAAGCCAAGGCACTGAATGGAGCCCAAAGACTGGGAGGCAGAAGTGGGGGGAGAGATTTAAGAGGGAATTGAGTTCATTTATTTATTTAGAAAACTGATACGCTGCTCCTCTCAACAACCAGAGTGGATTCTTGAATTCGAACTGCGGGTGGGTAACGATTCAAGAATTTCCCTGCAATCGGTGGTGGTAAGATAGCAGCAGGCAGCACTCTAGAAATCTCCCTTTCCTCATCTCTATGATGTATCAATATCATAGAGACGCAGGAGGGAGCCAGGAGTATTCTTACCCCACAGTTGGCATGTGTTGGGGAGCCCCAGAGAGAACAAGGATGTAAGCTGAGCACCCCCCACCTGACCCCCCTCCAGTTATCCTTTCCCAGCGTTAGCTTTCCTGGGTCTGCTCACTTCTCCAGATGTGTATAAGAAGAAAACCGGTTTGCTCATTTCTACAAAAGCCAGCTCTGGCAGGCAAGCAGGGTTTGTGCTTGCTGGGTCCCAGAAAGAGACAGAAGCCAACTTGGGCTTGTGAGTTAGGGTGAGCTCTTCCCCCTCCCAGTTGTTAACGTAACCCTCAGAAACAAGTCAGGTTAGCCCAAGCGGAGCTGAATCTGTAAACAGAAGTCAGCAGAGGGAGAGTCTATTTTCTGGGGCGCTGACTTCTGGGGCTCTTTATCCCCAGCCAGTTTGGTGTAGTGGTTAAGTGTGCGGACTCTAATCTGGGAGAACCGGGTTTGCTTCCCCACTCCTCCACTTGCACCTGCTGATGTGACCTTGGGTCAGTCACAAGCTCTGGCACAGCTGTCCTTGAAAAAGAGTAGTTTGTGTCAGAGTTCTCTCAGCCCCACCCACCTCACAGGGTGTCTGTTGTGGGGAGGGGAAGGGAAAGGAGTTTGCAAGCCGCTCTGAGACTCCCAAGTGAAGGGCGGGGTATAAATCCAATCTCTTCTTCTTCTTCTACCTTATATAAAGGTTGTCCTGTGAAACCTGAGGTCTGGTGAGTTAGGTCCAACAAGCCACCGTGCCTTACGAACACCTTTACTGAGAATAAAACAGCTTTACTGAAGTCAGATGCTGAATGCATTCAGAAATGTTACAACAAAATAAATTTTTGGCAACACCTCCTCTATCTCATTGGATGATTTCTGGCTGTTTAAAAAATTAGTACTGCAAAAATGAAATGTTTTTCTCTTGATCAAACCATCTGTGATTTTTTTTTTCTTCTTCCCCCTGAGGGGAGGTTTTTATTGGTTTTTTGCAGACTACAAACTATAACTGAAAACATGAGGAGGGGAACTACATCTAGGGAGAAAGAAAAAAGACCCACTACTAACTAAAAACCCAAGAGTAGGAGATCGTACATCAGCTTATCCCCATGCTATTTTCAAAAAGCTAATAATGCAATGAACATTGTCGGTTATGCTAAGTTAATAATCGTTTAACCATCCCTTTAACTGTTTAAAGAAATCCCCAGAGCATCCCAAAGTTAATTTCAACATTTTTTCAGGCACAAATCAGAGTCCTTCAGCCCTTACTTGTTCTTATCTTTTCTAATCCTCAGTTTATATGGACTTTTGGGGGCAGCCACCCCCTTTTCAGAGAATGAGTCCTCGTCCGAAGACCCCAAGCCCAACTTGCCATTAGATTTGCTTTCTTCTTCCTTTTTGTCCTCCGCTGGTTCCCCAAGCTGTGTTCGCAAAAAGTCACGTGCTTTAAGAACAGAGTCAATCTTTTCTTTTTTGCCATGGAGTTTGAAAGTGACGCCTTCTGGAATTAGCCATCTATAACTAATGGCATTTGTTTGTTAGAAAAGGATTCTTTATAGCTCTTTCTCCTTATGTCAAATGGAATGTCTTAAAATCCTGATGTTGTTGTCCCCAATTTTCAAGGGTGTTCCCGTCGTTGCTTTCAAAATAGCATCTCTTACATGCCTCTTCGAGATTTTTTTAAATCCCTCTTTTCTTTGCTGTCCATGGCAAAACCATATATACAAAAGCTGGATACAAAGTTTATATTGACTCCCTCAAAACATATGCCGTTTCCTTTCTTCCTTTTCACTCTATTTTTATCTTATACAAATCACCTTTCTACTGAAGCAACTTACAAGCTTCTAAAAACATTTTAAAACAAAGAAATCAAATTTTAAAAGAGACAAAGGAAAACTGGCTTACAAAGAGTCCAAAGCTGTTCCTGTTTAACTTTGCAGCACGGCTGGAGGACGATTTGCACCCATTGGGAAATAGGTTATGGTTGGACACTCAACACACATAGAACAGCCATGGCGGGTAACAGCAGCCCCTCTGCTTTCAAGACGGAAGACAGATCTCAACTGAGAAGGCTCAGAAATGGGCATCTTCTCTGCCTATGGAGAATGGTCCAAAGATGCGCCAGGATGACTCGGCTGAAAACCAGGAGGCGAGTAAATAGTGAATTGCAATCAGTGGGAACAAAGGATTCAATGCTGGGCTGCAGAGGGCTCGACATGGAAGAGTGAATCCGCAGCCCTTTGTGGGGAGTTTCCCATCTGCAAGTACATTTCTGAGACATTAAATCCTTGGGGCTATTTGGTGCCATTATTCTCTCATGGGGTCATCCGCTAAACCCACAAAGAGCTAATAGTGCCTTTTTAATGTTGACAGAACATCTACCCATTGTAGGGAGATTATGAATAATAAGCAATATTATGTGGTCAGGTTCTCCCTTATTAGATTCCTGGCTGTTTACTAAGATTTGAGGAATCACTTGGGGGGGGGGGATTCTTAACTAATTAAATCATTACATAATTTGGGGCACCTGTGACTTATTTGACACCCATAAGGCTTGTTGTATTTCAAATAGTCTTAATCTGATCATTTCGACAATTCCTCCTCTTTGTGAGTTCTTTGATGGGATATAAAATGGCCTCTCCACCTGAATCTTTTTCCACAGTCCCTGCATCTATATTTTTTCTCTCCGGTGTGGACTGTATGATGATTTGTAAGCTGTGTGCTGGTGTAGAAAGCCTTTCCACACTGCAGACATTTAAATGGTTTCTCTCCTGTGTGAGTTCTGTTGTGTGTGTTAAATTCTGAACTGCTGCTAAAACTCTTCCCACACTCAAAGCATTTATATGGCTTCTCCCCTGTGTGGATTTTTGTATGTATATTAAGGCTTGAGCTCTGACTGAAGCTTTTCCCACAATCCAGGCATTTATATGGTTTCTCCCCTGTGTGGATTCTTTTATGCAGTTTAAGGTACGTGCTGAGACGGAAACTCTTTCCACACTCCAAGCATTTATATGGCTTTTCTCCTGTGTGGAGTCTTTGGTGTACCTTCAGGTGCGAGCTCTGACTGAAGCCTTTTCCACACTCCTGGCATTTATAGGGTTTCTCTCCAGAATGGACTCTTCGGTGGGAAGTAAGGTGTGGTCTCTGACTGAAGCATTTCCCACACACTGTGCACTGGTAGGGTTTCTCCCCTGAGTGGGTTCTCCGATGGGAAGTAAGGGCTGAGCTCCAACTGAATGTCTTTCCACACTCCGGGCACTCATATGGCTTTTCCTTTGTGTGGAATCTCTGATGAGAAGTGAGGCTTGTACTGAGAGTGAAGCTCTTTCCACACAACAAGCATTTATATGCTTTCTCTTTTGAGTGGGTTCTCTGATGAACATGGAGGTTTGAACTCCAGCGGAAGCTCTTTCCACATTCCAAGCATTTATACCGTTTCTCCTCGGAATGGATTCTCTGATGCAAAGTGAGATCTCTGTTACACCTGAACCTCTTGCTGCACTCTGGACACTGGTATGGTTTTTGCCCTGTGTGGGTTCTTTGATGGGAAGTAAGGCTTTCACTCAGATCAAAAGAGTTTTTGCAGTCTGAACTCTTGGATGGTTCCTCCCTCTTATGGATTCTCTGGTGAGAAGTGAGGCTTACGAGCCTGCTGAAGCCCTTCCCACAGTCAGAGCATTTGTACGTTTCAGCCCCTGCACGGATTCTCTGATGGGAAGAAAAGTTGGATTCACATCTCAATCCTTCACTGTTTTCAGAATGCTTATTCCTCCTCTTTCCTTTGCCATATTCTTCTTGGGCTGGGTTTTCAAGAAGGAGGCCAGCCTGGAAAACTACAGACTGATTCCTTGACTTCTCTGCTTTGCTTTCTTCCTGCCTGTTTGACTGTTCTGGGTTCCTAGAAGGCTCTTCCTCCCCTCCAAGGTTGGTCATTTTGAAAGATATCGCAGACCACTTGGCGTAACTCTGCTCCTCCTGCCTGTGAGCTGGTGGAACAAAGGCTTCTGATTAGAAGGGGAAATAAGTCTGTAATGTGCAGTCAAAACAGAGCTAACCTTTCTGCAGAGTTAAGAAAGACCAAGTTCTTTTCTCCATTTTAATTTGATTTCTAAACTGGCAATGGGATAGAGGCAAGTTTGGCACTCCTCGCCAATGGTTCTCATCTGAAGAATTCACGGCTTCCCTGCAAATACTTCTAATACTCCTCAACAGCTTTTGGCACAGCAGCCAAATAATAATTAAGTAGAAACTTACAAAATATATCTAGACTAAAGGCATTCGTAGGAATAGTTTCATTTCCCCCCCATTTTTAAAAATATGAACCACTAACAGATAGTGTTGAGAGTTCAGCACCACAGAAGACACCACACGTAGGGATGAGGGCAGAGTTCCACAGGGGCTGGTGTTCACCTCTGTGGTTTGGGACAAAGAACCTTGAAGGATTGCCTACTGCCTTATGAACCTACCTGAGCAGTACGGACATCTTCAAAGGCTACAGCCTTCAAGTGCCCCACCTGCAGAGAGGAGGCCGTAGCAATCCAGGAGAGGGCCTTCTCGGTTGTGGCACCGGAACTCTGGAACCCTCTCACCAGGGAGACTGACCTGCCCCTTTTGATACCATCTTCCCTCAGCAGGTGAAGACTTTGTTGTTTCATTTGGCATTCCCTCGGTGATGTTTCCTTCCCACCCAATGTTTACTGTTTTGTATTTTAGCCACGGGTCTTATAAAGTACTTTTCTTCACTTTAATGGTTTTTAAGATGTGATTTTATTATATATATTGCAATTTGATAGCAGCATTGGTGGCAGAGAGATATAAAATTGTAAAAAAATAAAACAGTAGCATTTATTTAATACCCACACAAAATACTCAAGAGAGAGATTGCCTGTAGCTTTGAGGCAGCTCATATCCATATGCCAATAATATCATTTCATTATTTAAGCAACCAGGATTGTTTCTGAATCACTTAAAGGAACCCTCCTTACCTTCTACAGCTTCTATTAGTTCGTTTGTTATCTATTTGTGCTTTTCCTAACTTACGGTACATATTTTATCTGAGCTTCTAGGATTGTAGTTTTAAATAGTCTCCAAACTTTCCCAGTGGTTTTGACCCTTTCTACTTTTCCTTTCAGCTTCCTCCTCATGTCCCCTCATTTCAGAGAAGTTACCCCTTTTAAAGTTAAGAATGGTTGTGTCTGTCTTTTTGGGCAACTCCCTATTTATACAAATGTTGAACTCAATCACATTATGGTCACTGTTCCCAAGCGGTGCAATCCCTTTTACATCTCTCACCAGGTCTTGGGCGTTACTTAGGACCCAATCCAGGATCGCCTCTCCCCTGGTAGGTTCTGTGGCCATCTGCTCTGTAGCACAGTCATTGAGAGTGTCTAGAAACGCAATCTCTTTTTCCCAACTTGAACACATATTGACCCAATCAATGTGTGGGTAGTTAAAATCACCTATTACGACACAGTTATTTTGTCTAGAATGGTTTTTCATCATTACAACATTGCCTTGACAACCAGTGAGCCACCCCTCCCCGCAATTATTCCCCATCTTTCCTCAGGCCTAGCAATGCTCACGTTGCCTCCAAGAAGACCTCCACAAACTGGGTGAGAGGACAACAATGCAGCAAGTGAAGTTCAGTGCTGGTAAGTGGAAAGTGATGCACACTGGGACAAAAAACCCAGCTTCAGGTACAGGCTAATAGGGTCTGAAATTGCTGAGAATGAGAGGAAAAAAGATCTTGGGGTCAAAGTGGGTAGTTCAATGAAAGTGTCTACACAGTGCTGCAGTGGTGAAAAAGGCAAACTCTACGTTAGGGGTTATTAGGAAAGTGATTGAGACACTGCAATACCTCTGTATAGATTTATGGAACTGGAATACTGTGTACAGTTCTGGTCACCTCTCTGAAAAGACTAGAAAATTGAGGGTATCCAATGAAGCTGATGGGCAGTAGGTTCAGGATGGATAAAAGGAAATACTACTTTAAACAGGGAGAGTTTAAAATGTGGAATTTGCTGCCAGAGGATGTACTGATGGACACAAGAATAGACAACATTAAAAGGGGATTAGATAGATTCATGTAAAAGAAGCCTATCAATGGCTACTAACCATGGTGACTGAGGGGAACCGCCACATTCAGAGGCACTAATCCTCTGAATCCCAGAGCCAGGATGTAACATCAGGAGAAGGCATCAGCCTTTATGTTGTATTGTTGGCCATCGAGAGGAACTAGTTGACCAGTGTGAGAGAAAATATGCTAGACTAGATGGACTATTGGTCTGATGCAGGAGGGCATTTCTGATGACCTTATGAAGGCTTCGGCCTCTATGCCCTGGTGTTGGCCCTCCAGAGGAACTGGTTGGCCACTGTGTGAGACAGGATGGTGGACTAGATGGACTACCATTCTCATCCGGCAGGGCTTTTCTTATGTTATCACGAAGAAAAAGGGAATATAGTTTCAGCTCCTTGTCTAACCCTCCTGCTCTTTTCCTGACACGACACCATCCCGTTGTGCAATCATTTTCCTGAGTCTCTCTTACCACATTGCCTCCAAAAAAGGAGGAGACAGAATCCTGAAATCTCTGTTCTTGTGCCTGCAATGTACACAACCCAGAAGTGGGAGGTACTTCTGGGCGGGTGGAATCAAGGTCAGGATCCAAGGCCCACAAATCTGGATCAACGCTGAGAGGAATGGGACTGTTTCAGCCCCCCCCCCCCCAGAAGCTCTTATGAGGAAGAAAACCTCAGAGGGTGGCAGAGCCACTGCAGGTAACCCGATGGTACATGAGCTCACGGCGTGAGTGATCAGGGCCATTCGAAACATCTAGTGGCCCTCCAAGGAAACCGCTCAACCCCCAGCCAACAAAGAGGCCCATCACGCCTCTAAGCAACCCACCTGCCGACCGCTCCTCTTCTTCGGGGTCTGGGGGAAACGGTGCTTCGCTTTCCTGAAGCCAGGAGATGAGGCCAGGCTTGGGAGTCGCTTTGGAGGAAACATACGGACTAGTTAGTTACTACAAGAAATTCAGGCCTTCCTACATCATCCATTTCTACATTCACCTTCTGAAAGACCACAAGAGAGAAGGAAAGTTCCTAACCCCAACAGATAAGTGTGTCACAGAAGCCACCAGAGTCTTGAAAGCACCCGTCTTCCAGTCGGCCTACTGTTCATGAAACTTGGATAGTCGCACCAGATAGGAATCCCATTCTGGGGGACAAGGCAGCCCTGCTTCTCTTTAGCCATTCCTCTTGCAGCCTCTCCACGCCACAATGCATCAAGTCTGATTCAGGCACAGGGTCTGGAACTTCTCCCACAAATCAATGCAGCCACTTAGACGGAGTGTGATGAAAATGAGGCAAAAACTTCCATTTCTCTTTTCAAGCAACAACAAAAAAACTCCCTAGTGAGTTATTCAGGTGTGAATACACTATGGATGCCCTAGAATTTATCCAGGCTTGTGCATTTAGATTTGTAACAACTGACATTAAAACAAGTCCAGAGGGATTGCTTGAAGACTAACAGATTTATTCCTGCGTAAGCTTTCATGAATTAGAGCTCACTTCTTCAGTTACACGAAGTGAACATCCATTAAGCAAATACATTTATACTAAAAACGACAAACCAGAGGAAGTCAGATGTTACGAAGAGAGCCCTGTTTAAGAGAAGATACAAATCAAGAAAGTAATCGGTCTACTCAAGAGTGGGCAAGGACCACCTGTTGATAGACAGGAAAAGACAATCTGGAAAAAAACCACTGGTAACTTTCCCCTTGTATCTCTTTAATAAAAAAGGCTAGAGAGAGATTACGAAGAGAGCCCTGTTTAAGAGAAGATACAAATCAAGAAAGTAATCGGTCTACTCAAGAGTGGGCAACTCCCAAATGTTGACAGACAGGAAAAGACAATCTGGACAAAAACCAGTGGTACCTTTCCCCTTGTATCTCTGTAATAAAAAAGGCTATAGATATGCTTTTTTTGGGGGAAAGAATGCTAGGAATTCATAGACCACAGCACTAGATGGTGGTAACGTTTCTGCACTACAGCAATCACCGTTTTTGTTTTTTTAAAGGCCTCGGCTCTTTTTTATTTTTTTGCCATCAAGTGACAGCTGACCTATGGCGACCCCAAGGGGATTTTCAATGCAAAAGACGTTCAGAGGTGGTTTGCTGTTGTCTGCAGCCGTATTATGACCCTGGTATTCCTTGGTGGTCTCTCTTCTAAATTCCGAGCAGGGCCGACCTTAGCTTCCGAGATTTGATGAGACTGAGATAGCCTAGGCTACCCAGGTCAGGACCCGCTGGTGGGATGGAGTGAAAATGGCAACCAGAAAAAGTTGGAAGGAAGATGGCGTTGATATAGGCTGGCTCTCTGGAATGATCGGGACAAAGATCGGGGGAAACCTGGAAAATGGGCAGTTAGACGACACTGTCCAATTTGGAAGCCAAAGCTGTGCAAAATGTTGGCATGGAGGCAGCCCTAATAAATGTCAGAATGAGAAAGTTATCCAGCTTCATTTAGAAACTATAACTGTTAACCAGATAAGGCCTCCACACCTCCCAGCCCAGCAGGATGAAGAGAGCTCAGTGCGCCACTGGATGTGGCTGGTGCCAGAGCTGGTCACTGCACCAGGTAAGTAAAAGGAAAGGCAAAGGTTTCCCTTGCTCGAAAGCCAGTCGAATCCGACTCTAGGGGTGCGGTGCTCATCTCCGTTTCCAAGCCAAAGAGCCAGCGCTGTCAGAAGACTTCTCCGTGGTCATGTGGCCGGCATGACTAGAACGCCGAGGTGCACGGAACGCAGTTACCTTCCCACCAAAGTGGTATCTATTGATCTACTTGCAATTTCTTGCTTTCGAACTGCTAGGATGGCAGGAGCTGGGGCCAGAGACGGGAGCTCACTCCGTCACGTGGCACTTGGGTCTCAAACTGCTGAACTACTGACCTCCCAGTCTGCAGTTAAGAACATAAGAGACGCCAATGTTGGATCAGGCCAAAGGCCTATCTAGTCCAACACTCTGTCACACAGTGGCCAAAAATACCAGGTGCCATCAGGAGGTCCACCAGTGGGGCCAGGACTCCAGAAGCCCTCCCACTGTTGGCCCCCTCCCAAGCACCAAGAAGACAGAGCATCACTTGCCCCAGAGCCCCTATCTATACCTTGTGGCTAATAGCCACTGATGGACCTCTGCTCCATATCTATATATCTAATAGTGAACTTGCGGATCACTAAATCAGCGCTCTGGGGGCAGCTGGGGGGCCGGGGGAGGTTTGTGCACACGTGGGCCAGTCCCCACGTGTGCACAAAAATTTAAAAAGTTGAAAAAAATTTCGGGGGGATGTTTAAATCCCCCCAAAAGTGCAAGAGCGTCTCCTGCGCGTGCGCAGGAGACGCTCTGTAGCTGCCGCCGCCGCTTGGGAGGGAAGCGGCGAGCAGGGAGGGGGGGCCAGAGCGGCGAGGGCCGGCGGACAGAGAGAGAGA